TTTTCATGGCTTAAAATAATCTTTTATGGTCTTGATACTTTAAGGTCAGCATGCCCTTAAGTAAAATCATTGGGCTATACTTTGAGAATTTTTAAAATTGTGCTCAACTTTGCCGTGCATTGTATGTTGTTTGTATAAATTCTTAACATTAGTCTGACTCTCTTGCCTTTTCCAGTGATTTTTTTTTCTTGTAAGCTCTGAGAACTTATATCTTTATAGTAAGATTTTTTTTCTAGGGTAGGTCTTAATTAGCTGACTATCAATAGTCAATTTTCCTGGTACTATGTGTGCTCTTTTAATATGAACTCAGAAGTTTATTTCAGGAAAGCATTCTTAGACTTTAGGTGTTTTTTTCCCCCTCCATTTAAAAACAAATTTTAGATTTACAAAAGAGTTGCATGGACAGTGCAAACAGTTTCTATATATCCTTTGTTCTGCTCCCCCAACACTAAAAGCTCACATAACCTTAGCACAATTATCAAAATAAAAAACTAGCATTAGTTTACTACTACTGACTTATTTGAATTTTGCCAGCTATTTTTGGTGTTTCTTCTCCACGATTCCACTTGCATGTAGTCATGTCTCCTTAGTCCCTTCCAGTCTGTTGCAATTTGAAGTTGTTCTTCATCTACACTTTCAAAGAGTAATGGTAAATTATTTTGTAGTGTTCTTCAGTTGGATTTGTCTGATGTTTTCGCATGATTTTCATGAAGTTATCCAGGTTTTTGCAGTTATATGACAGAAATGACATTGCATCATATAAAGGGAAGTTAATATACTTTAGTACTGGTGACAGCTTTAATCACTCGGTAAAAATGGTGTACCATGTTTTCTCACTGAAACTTACTACCTTTCTCTTTGTAATTAGTGCAAACTTTGGGGGACAGACTTTAAGACTATGCAAATCCTGCCCACTCTTTTGGCAATTTCTCTTCAGTAAGATCAGCCCCTAAAGATGCCTTCCTCTGTGTATTTACACTCTAGTGTAACTCCCTCCCATCAGGGTTGGGATGTTTAGAAGAAGTTATATGCCACTTCCAAGATTAGGTTACAAATAACACTGAAGCTGTCATCATGGGTATGCTTTTGTGTGTTTTGTCCCTCCCTCTCTGTGATCACTTCTTCCTGAGAAAATCAGCTGCTGGACACTAACCATGTGAGTTTAGAAGCAGGTCCTCTAGACTCAGTTAAGCCTCAAATGACTATGGCCCTGACCATACCCACAGGGATACAGACAAGGTGTCATCTTGTTTTCATCCGCTGGCAGCCTGGAGATCAGCAGCCATCCTCCAATCATGAGAATGAAAACTATAATCTAACTACGTGAAAAAGGAAAATAGCAGGAGCCTAAGCCAGTAATAATTTTTTTGAGCAGCTGCCACTTCCTGGTTTGCTCACCTTCAGACTTCCTTTCCCCTTAAATAAACACCTGGCTATGGCTTAAGTCAGATTTTCTTTTGCTTGAAACAAAGCTCATTCATGACTAATATACTGATGTGAATAGTAGTAGTTTGGACCCTGGTCTACTAATTTCAAGCCCTAGACTCAGATGGAAACCATCACTATCTAAATAAAACACAAAAGCTAATTGGAAGTAAGTTTTGATGCACATATGGCTAAGTGTCCTGGGAGAGTTAGACAATTGTATTCTACAACTCCACATTTGTCAAACTTTCCTACCCTCTCACCTCTGGAGGCTACATTTTAGCTTCTACCTCTACCACCTCAAAACTATCCTTATCAAAGATAATTACTTCATTTGTCACGAAATCCATTGAGTACTCTGGTTCTATCTCACTTAGCCTCTCCATCACACTTGACTATTGTTGACTTTTTTTCTGAAGTATGCATCCTCCTAGAGTTTTATATTCCAACTCCTATCTACTGCTTCCTCCTATCAGTCTCATCATTAGGTCCATCATCTTCTGCCGGTCCACTAAATGAAGACACAACTTAAGGTATTACACAGACTTCTCTGGATGACACACTCCCACAACTTCATATATAATTTGTAAATGGAATCCCCAATCTAAGTCTTCATTTCAGCACTTTATCTTGAGTGCATACCTGAATACAGTAACTACTACATACCCACCCAAATGGATAACCCAGAGAAATCCCACACTTAATGTCAAAATCTGTGCACATCACATTCAATTTTATACTTGATCCTCCACCACTGCTTCCTAACTTAAAAAACACTACCAACCATCAGGTCAGAATATAAGTTGTTTCTGTCACAGCCCTGGTATAAAATATCTTCATTTCTCCTCTGGCTACTGAACTATACTCCTAAATGGTTTTCCCTGTTCTCTTCCTTTCGTTCTCTATATCAAGGACTGTGTATGGATGCTTTTGCCTTATAAGGACAGAGCTGAATAGTATGATATGAACTGTCTGGCCCTTTTGTAGAAAAGGCTTGCTGACCTCTATTCTAAATTGAGACTATAACCAAAATAAAAGCCATTTTAGGGGTCAAGAGACTGCATCTGATTGCCTCCCATCTTTTCTGCATCATGTCTAATCATACTCCTTTCTGCTTTCTATGCTTCAACAGTGCTTTCAAACTTCTTTCAGTTTATGGAGACCTATTCACTTTTTCATGGTTTACGTACTAATCTTCTTAAATACCTTCTCCTACTTTCTCCTTCACTTAGCTCACCACTGCCCTTTTTTAGGTCACAGTTTCAACATCATTTCTTCCATGCAGCCTTCTGTGAACTTCCCAAACTAAGAGTCCACTGGTTCCCATAATCCTCTGCCTAACTTGCTGACACCATCAAATTGACCTGTGATTATATAATGTTTTGTTCTGTATTAAATTGAGAGCAGACACTGAGCCTTTCCGTCTTGTTCAATGTGTTATCCCCAGCATTTTGCTTAGTATCTGGCACACAACAGATACTTATGTTCTGGGGTGGGGGCAGGAACCTCTAAAATCCTTAGAATAGCTTTCGACACTCTTGTCATTTTAGACTTTCCTTACATTTCAAAAGCACTTATGCAGAGAATCAGAATGATTCCCTATCAGGTCCCTGGCTAAAAGTGCTCTCTTAACTCTGATCTTTGAAAATGGTCTTCCCTATGCCTAAAACAATTATACCTCCTTTTTCACCTTGATAACATCTACACAGGTAGGAATTATCCTAGACCTCTCATATGACCCAGGTCTGGTTTTAGGGCCCCACTGTATAGTACTCTCAACTCCAGAGCCCCTCAAACTTCTCATTTGTAACATTAATATCACATGAAGCCAAGTAAGAGAAGGGACTATCTGATTTCTATTGCATTTCCAATATTTATCATAGTGGATAGCTCAGAAGAGGAGCTCAATAAATATTTACTAAGTCATTGAAACTAAATGCTTCAACACTGAAGCAATTTTTCAAACTTTCAAAAGAAAACTTCAAGTTCCCATTAAATCTTCTCCCTGAATCTTAGTCACTTCTAATCCAAATCCCTCAATTCATCCTACAAATCTAACACGTACCCCACACTTGTTTCAACCGGCACACCTATTTCTCTTGGAACTTATACCATACCCTTATGTATTGCATCCTCCTCTCCATTGATCAACAATGAATTAATTTAGCAGTCTCACTTCTATCCTTCAGGTCCTAGATTGGATCTCAAGGATTCCACATGACCACAGAACCTTTCTAATTGGTTGCATTAAACAGTCATGGTTTCTAACACCAATGAAGCTCAAAATAGCTTCATTGTTTAGGCAAATTCTCTCTCCTAGCATATGGCTGGACTTTTTATCACTTACCTCCAGTTCCTAAGTTATGATAGACCTACTCATTCTCAGCACATAATTCTACTCCTCTCATCAAAATACAAGGGACTCAGATACAAATCCTATTTTGCTCCAGACCTTCTTTGCTCTTGTACTTTTTCCTTCTACAGCAGCTGAAGTCTTTGCAACCTACTCTTGACCCAAATTCTCCTGGTGTGCTCTTGAGTTTTCCTTCTCAATTTGGTATTGTCACACCTTACATTAATTCACAAAGGCAGCTCCATACAAGTTCCCATTGTGCCTTTTCACTATGTTGTATCAGCTGGAGCCACAGTCATTCCAAGCTACTTGGTTATTATGCACTAAATCACCAGGTGACAGCACTTCCATACTTGATGTGTGATTAATAGAAAGTTTGAAGGGTCATAGAGAAGTGATTATACTGCCATTATTTTATTCATTTCAGCTCATTCATGTTGAAGTAAGCAGTGTTTGATATCACTCAGCCAGATCACAAAGCCTTGGAGGAAAGGACTAAGTGCTATGAATGGGAGGGACTGAGGAATAGTCACAGATCACTAGCTCTCTCACAACCGTTAACTATCTGGCATAACCATCAGTAAATGTTCCTTGCCTCTAATTCTAGTGGTCAAAACCATGCTTTTCTTCATTTTGTTTTTCCCAATGTGACCTCAAACACAAGTCAACAACAGGAATTTGAGAGTTGCAATTGCAGTCCTGGAAATGGTATACAGAGTATTCTGTACTGTTGTTGTTTTCAGTGCTTTTAGTTCTTCTATAAGTCACAGAAATCAATGAGTACCAGAATGCATAAAATCAAATGAAACCTCTTGAGAATATAAATGGACCCCCAGCTGATGACTAGCTGGTGAGTTTTAGCAGGGTGGTGGAAGGGTGAGGACTGTCAATTCAGACAAGATCATAACCTACTCAAAATAAATGTCATCATAAAGTCTGAAGTCTAGCAGGGACCATAGCAGTGGTCTATACACCCATTTCCCTCTTCCTCTACCCCAACACATTTAGCAAAGATTTAACAATGGATATGAGATCGGGAAAAAAGAAACAGGATCTAGCTCTGCAAATAAAAGGCAAAATATGAGGCAAACCCTTCACATTAAACTCCACCTTAAGGAAACTATTAGTTATATTATGCTTTGATCTTTTAGGCCACTCACATATATCACTGTCAATATCTTTGGAAAAAGAAAAACATTTAGCATTAAACATTTTAAGGACCTTTCACAAACCAAATGACAGTAGGTTTTTATTAACATATCTTACAATGTTGGTTATTCCTAGTTTTGTAATTTCTGCTTAATTATAAAGGCTGCTTTAGCTTCTACAGTAATGTACTGTATTTAAATGATCATTCATACAAGATATCACACCAGTACATTTTTTTAATAATATACACACATCACTCTAACTTGGACCTGTTATTTTTAAAAGTGGGTTTATAAATGGGACTTATAAAAGTTATGGAGAAAAAAATTAAAGTTCTAGTTTAGCAGCATGCATGTATGTATTCAAGTACAATTTTCAACCAAGTGCTTTTTTTAAATTTACTGGTGACTAATTCACCAATATCAAAATAAACACTATCAAATACCCAAATTTTAAAGTTAAGGCTAATATTTTCACTTCACATCCATATGCACAACCATAAAACATTCCATTTTAAATATGTAGTAATCAAAGTCTGAATACATTATACCAGGTATATATAGCATCAGTTTCAAACTGTAGAATTATTCAAGTTCATGAATCCTGTAACAGTATTTACTAGTGATGTGAATTAGTATTTTGCTCTTCAACCACACTTACAAATGGTCTGGTATTCATAATGACCAATGCAAAAATATGACAGGCTGAACTTATAATACAGTATTTAAAAAAGTAGCAATGTGTTGGAAAGGATAGTGATTTAGTGAAACAGAATCATTCTAGTCTTACAGAAAGTTGTCTGAATATTTTGGAAATGTATATAAAAATAGCAGGCTATTTCCATGTATTTTCTTGTAGAGCTGTAGGTAATTTATTGATGTTCTGAACACAGTTGAATATGTACTACTCTGCTTTCCCTATTATAATGCAAGGCCATCATTTAATGTTCATTTTCATATTCAGTAATGCCATATCATTCAAAAAAATTTTAGAACATGAATCTGATGTTATTTTTACGTTTTATCATTAGATGTTTTAAATTTTATTTTTACATGTAAAATTGTAATTTTATATAACAAGCCATGAAACTCCAAAGTACCAGGAATTGCTCAATAGCATAATATATGAAATAATCATCAAATTACTGAGTCATCTGGAAAAAATCTTAGTAGCAATGTATAACATGCTTTCCATGTACTTTTCTTATTATAGAGTAGGTTGTAGCTCAATCATCCCATTTTTACTGATTTAAAAACCCTTACAAACAAAAATTGCTTTTCATGTACTGTTCATTCATGAGGTTCATCACCACTGAGCCTTTTTTTCTCCTTATAGTAAACCAAGCAGAAATAGCAGTGATTCCACTGCATGAATACAATGTAGCTGAATCTCTTGAGTTGATAAGAAAGTTCCAAAACTTACGGTTCGGTTTATTAGTTGGGAAGTAAGAGTATTTCCAATCCAATCATATAAACAAAAACTTGGTTGGTAATAAAAGGTGGGCATGCACAGGATCAAAATTTGTCATGTGGATTTTCTTAAATCTTTTGGTTTCTCTTTTTTTCTTTTGCAGTGCTCAGGATAGAACTCAGTGCCTCACACATGCTAGGCAAGCGCTTTACCACTGAGCTACACCTTCAGTCCACAAATTTTAATTATTAAGGACCCCCCCCCCTCAATCACACATATGCTCTTCAAAATGTACTGTATTTATATTAACAGCGCTATCTACTTATTTTACAACTATTTCATTTACCTGGGGAGAATATTTATGAAATTCCTGAGAATGAATTAAGTTTTCAGCAAAGCCTTAAACTTTTAACGATTCCTCACAATAAGAAAAAAAAATTAAGATTCTACTATTAGACTAACTTTTACTATACAATATTTCACATAAATCATGTTTTACATTTTTTCTAGTTACATACAGCAAAAATTTCAAATTAACACAAGAATGGCAGAGGAAAAAGATGCATTATGTTTAGCAGATGCAAATTAAAACACAGATAGAAAGGAGCAATAAAATTTCAAATAAATCACACCCATTCTAAGTATCAATGAATAGCTGATATGCATTGTTGGGAGAATAACTTCTGAATGATTTTATGGACAAGTTGTGCTTTTTATTAATTGTGCACTTAAAAAAATGACCACTAAAGAATGATTTATTTATTATGTTCTCCAGATACTTAAAAAAAAATTACTATTCCATTAAGTGATTACCAAGCACCTAATTTTGGAAAGGCTTCATAATGTATTCTTTTTTTCCCCTCAGCAAAAACATTACTCTCCCCAAATTAAGTTAAAGCTTATTGTTGATAAAATAAATTCTTAATGAAAATGATGCAATGCTGAGGTGGTGAGTCATAGCCCATTATAATGTGGACCCCATCTTTTATTGATGTGATCAAAAGTATGAGAAATCCATTGCTGCTCAAGAACTTTGTATCTTTCCTTACAAATGTAGAGAGGTTTGCCGCGCCTAGGGAAGGAAAAAAGAAGTATTAAAATACAATATAATGAAGATTTCACACGCATTTCTTCTTTTAATAGATTTGATATGGCAAAAATCTCAGTGATTTGGTTTGTGTTTCCTCAGCATATTGATAGGGAAAATAACTCAAAAACTAGAAATTATTCTAAATTAATGATTGTGGAGCTTCTTAATTTAAAATACATATATATATATTTACAAATTCAGAAATGGCACTTTGGTTCTTACTGACCAAATTTCATCAAAACAATGGATATATTAATGCAGATCTAACCTAAGATCCCGGTCTTCTTCTCCATGAGCATCCAAATACACGGAACCCCAGAGGCAGAAGCGGTGACCTCGAATAATGATGATCACTGATGCATTGATCAAAAGGAAAATGCCTGTTCCAGCACCACAGTTCTGAGAATGCTGAAAATTTTAAAATATATCATTTCATTTGATAATCAATGAACTTTATAACAAAATCAAGACTGTCTTTAAGTGCTTTCTAAATAACACAAAGATATTTAAATTTTTTAAGTAAGATCACATCTATCTTAAATTTATAACCCAATTCCCAATATATTATTATTAATACATTAGGAAGAATTGGGGTAAGGATTATCTAGGAAAGCAATTAAGAGCCAACGTAATTCAGAAGCCAGAATCCTCCACAACATAGAAGAATGTTGTTTCATAGCATTAAAAGATAAATGTAACATTAAAAGATAATAGGAGAGCGGGCTGGGATTGTGGCTCAGTGGTAGAGCGCTTGCCTAATGTGTGTTAGGCACTGGCTTCGATTCTCAGCACCACATACACATAAATAAAATAAAGGTCCAACAACAATTAAAAAGTATATTTTTAAAAAAGACAATAGGAGAAAGGAGTAGAACTGGAATTATTTTTAAGAAAGGTTTTACCCACTTAAAGCCTTAAAGATTTTTTTTATTCTTCTACTGAATTAAAAAGCAACAAAACAAAACACACATTCCATCTATCTATATATATATTGTGTTTAACTCAAAGACTAGTTAAATTTGAAGAGCTGACTTGACCCCATGTACCAAATTTTCATGAGATTTAAGTTTTCATAAATTTTGTACTACTGCTTACCAATACACATTCACAGTAACTTTGTTGCTTGCAGCAAAGTCCTTTTAGGCATACAAAAGTACCACAAACAAGGCAAACAGCAGGATCTTTAGGAACCTTGGTGCAGACACTACACGTTTTTCTGTGGTAGTACTGAAAAATGGTGTTATAATTCTCAGGTAACTGTAACAGGTGCGGTAATTTCCATTTTGATTCTTGGATAAGCAAAGCCTAAAACATCCAAGAATAGTCATTAGTCTTATGTATTTAAGATGCTAACACAAAATGTTCATTTTTTTAAAAAAGGGCTTAAAAAAAAGGAAAATCTGCTTTCAAAAATGTGAATATTTATTGCTATACTTTTTTTCTACTTTACAATTGATAAAAACAGTACTTCAACAATTACCATTCTCTATTTTCATGCAGATTTCACTTATAACAGATGTAATTTTTTAGATTAAGCACCTTATAACATAAACTTGTTATTATTTTAAAAGTGAAATATTAATATCTCCCAGCATGCATGACTATTTATCTTGGTATATTTGTCTTTTAACATGTTTAATGCAAAAGTTTTAAACAGTTATAATTTATTTTTATTGATACATTATGACTATATATAATAATGGGATTTGTTATGCCATATTCATATATGCACATAATTTAATCAAACTCATTCTCTAGCGCCTCTCCCTTCCCCTAATCTGCTTGCTCTACTCTATTGATTCCCCTATTTTTATTATTTTAATTTTCAAACAATTCATGACCTTTTTAAGGAAATTCACAATTGTAACTCATTTTTTATATTTTAATACTTCATAACTTAGAATCTCCTTCCTAAAATATGTAAAATTTGTTATACTTCAAACTATTAAGATCATTTATATCCACAGTACTGGGAGCTACAATTCTTTTAATAAATTTCCTGCTTTATATGTGGGGGGGAGAGCTTAGTTAGGGTTGTAGAAAAATATGGGCAAGAGCATCAATTTTTCCTAGGTATTACTCTATTCACACTTACAGTAGATCAAATGTGTGTGAATCCATTATCTTAAGAAACTGTATGAATGACTGTCAACTTATGTGATCTTCATCTTACATTATCTACAGCCAGCCATAATCAACTAAATCAGTAGAGTAACCAAGTGGCTAAGTTGTTATTTATCAATGAGTTCATGGATAAAGTAAGAATGCAAGTAAGGAAAACTGGGATTATAATAGTTCACTTGCCAATACTCAGTGCCTAACCCAGGCCCCAAAGATGACATACTCTGTAATGGATTGATTATACTGGAACCCTTCCATTAAGCAGAAGAGACAGCAATGTTTCCCCCCAAATTTAACACTTTTATCAATTTGTTTGAGCACTACCTTGTAGCTTATACAATAATGTAATCAAAGGATTTCCTTTATGAAGAAAGATGTAAGACAATAGATAGATGTCCACGGAATTCATGAAACTTAATATATACTCAATCATCTGAAGAAATTACTGTTCTTCTAAATGATAAACTACTAAACTGATTATTAGCTGGAAGAAAACACCTGTACAATGAAGTATATGCTCTAAATAGCAATCAGTATATATAAGTGATCTTTCTTTCTCACAGCTAGAATGTATAGATATGGAAAACAGGAGGTGGAAAGTCATCGTCTTACCTCTAACTAAAAATTCAGTCCTAAATTTCTGCTTTGGTTTGGGAGTATGGCTCAGTGGTAGGGTACCTGCCTAGCATGCATGATGCCCTGGGATTGATCCCCATCACACAAAAACAGAAAGGAAGGAAGGAATAGAGGGAAGAGGAAAAAAGAATTTGCTTCACTGTTGTACTGGAGTCTTCTGTGAATTTAGTACCTAAGGAAGTATATACTATAATATATATTATATATTTCTCTTGAATGTCTCTTGCATTAGTTACTTTCTAATTTTTAACTATCAAAAAATAGACCAGATTTTTACCACCTAAATAATTTCTTGCTTCCCTCTCTCTTTATTCTCCTTATTTTAATTTTCAGTCAGAAAATTAAATAAGAAATACTTATTTAAGAAACATTCTTTTATGATTTAAGCAAGGTTGTGGCAGAGAAGTGATATAAAATGAAGATGAGCGGGTGGGTGATACTCCCTTGTAATCCCAGTTACTCTAGAAACACACTAGAAATACTTCCCTAGAATACTATTTTCATCATATTATTCCATTTCTCAAACTATAATACTAGCTATAGAAGAAAAGTCTGTGCACAAAATCAAGGCACTCACAGCTTACTCACTACTGCCCCAACTCTGCTCTAAACTCACTTGTCTCCAATGCAAACCCTTTGATACACTGAGCTGGCAACAGAGACCCAGCACATTTTCAAGTTATTCATGATATTTTAGATTTGCTAGTCTAAATCATTTTTTTTCTTTTTAAAATGTAAGATAGTTCCCCCTCAAATAAATATACAAGTTCCCTGCTTACCTTAAAATTCCTTTGTATCTTTCAGGTCTAGTGCTATAAAAATCTGCTGACCAAAAACAAACTCCAAATAACACCTAATACTTTATCTTTATTAAAAAAACTATTTCTTTGTACATTCTAAAATTTTACACTCTAAAATGCAATTTATTTGAGTAAACCACCTTTTCAATTTAACCAGTCTAACAAATGTTGCCAAGAACAGATGACCTGAAGTCCTTTATTTTCTATTAGCATACCACCTCTATGGCAAGTGAATACCACTCTTTTTACATACCTTTCCTTGTTCTGCATGTCTTTCAGTAAATGATTTTATCTCAAAACACCACTGAGTTATAATATCAAATGGTGGAACTGGCCATTCCAGACAAGAGGCACTGATGAACGGATGTTCTGTTTGGTAAAATGCTGGCAGAAGTCCCAGGCAACTGGCAAGAACTGAGAATTCTTCTTCTTCCTTTTAGACATAAAATAGAGAATTCTCAAGATATTTAATCAAGAACATTTTCTATTATAGGTATTTTAAGTGTCATCCTCATCAATTACTTTGGGACAGGAAGAAAACTTTCTTAACTGAGTCAACTAAGGGCAACAGGAGGAACAAGAAGAAAAGAAACAGCTCCTCACTGTTATATCAAGACATACTCAAATATTTTTCATAAATGTCACAGCATCTGCTTCTTTTGTACATTTATTTTTTTTAATAATTATATTTACATATATAATGAATAGTCCATCTACAGAAACTAGTTACTCAATGAAAGCAAAGTTAATTTTTGGCAAAAAGAATGTTGCTTTGATTTAAAGAGTATATATATGGTCAATATAGATAAAGAACAACAGTAAAAATGTGGAATTCATGAAAAGCAATGCTAAATAATTTGCTTGGACTCACAAGGAGTATAAAACAAAGTGCATTAAAAAAGTAGGGGATGGATTTTAAAAAACCTGAGAGATCTAAAAGGCAGGCAATCTGAAGCTCTACTCACTAATAAAAGAATAGAGAAATCAGTGATCCAAGGACATATACCCTGAAAATTGATTTTTAAAGAAGTTAGTCACTCTTAGAAACACAAAAATATATCCCCTAATTCCTCTTTATTTAATCAAAAACCATTTTATTTCTTGTGCTTTAGGAGTCTTGTCAAGAAAGTCAGGGCCTAATCCGACATGAAAAAGATTTGGGCCTACTTTTTTCTCTATTAGGCACAAGTTCTCTGGTCTAATTCCTAGGACCTTGATCCATTTTGAGTTACGGTTTGTGCAGGGTGAGAGATAGGGGTTTAGTTTCATTTTGTTACATATGGATTTCCAGTTTTCCTAGCACAATTTGTTGAAGAGGCTATTTTCTCTCTAGTGCATATTTTTGGTGCCTTTGTCTAGTATGAGATAACTTTGTTTATATGGGTTTGTCTCTTGTGTCTTCTATTCTGTACCATTGGTCTACATGTCTATTTTGGTGCCAATACCATGCAATTTTTGTTACTATAGCTTTGTAGTATAGTTTAAGGTCTTGATATTGTGATAACTCCTGCTTCACTCTCTTGCTAAGGATAGCTTTGGCTATTCTGGGTCTCCTATTTTTCCAAATGAATTTCATGATTGCTTTTTCTATTTTTATAAGGAATGATGTTGGGATTTTAACTGAATCGCACTGAATCTGTAGAGCGCTTTGCATAGTATGGCCATTTTGACAATATTAATTTTGCCTATTCAAGAACATGAGAGATCTTTCCATCTTCTAAGATCTTCTTGAATTTCTTTCTTTAGTGTTCTGTAGTTTTCATTGTAGAGGTCAACTTTTGTTAAGCTGACTCCCAAGGTGTTTTTTTTTTTTTTTTTTTTTTTTGAGGCTATTGTGAATGGGGTAGTTTTCTTAATTTCTCTTTCAGAAGATTCATCACTGATGTATGGAAATAAAATCAAGGAACAATAAATGGAATAGACCCAAACTAAAAAGCTTCTTCTCAGCAAAAGAAACAATGAGGAGCAAATTTTGGGAGCAAATTTTTGCACATCAGATAGAGCACTAATCTTCAAGATATATAAAGAACTCAAAAAACTTAACACCAAAATAACAAACAACCCAATCAATAAATGGGCTTAGGAACTGAACAGATGCTTCTCAGAAGAAGATACACATTCGATCAACAAATATATAAAAAAAAAAGTTCAATGTCTTTAGTAATTAGAGAAATTTGCATCAAAACTGCTCTATGATTTCATCTCACTCCAGTCAGAATGGCAATTATCAAGAATACAAACAATAATAAGTGTTGGCAAGGATGTGAAGGAAAAAGTACACTTATACATTGCTGGTAGGACTGCAAATTGATGTAATTGTTGTGAAAAGCAGTATGAAGATTCCTTAGAAAACTTGTAATGGAACCACCATTTGACCCAGGTATTCCACTCCTCGGTCTATACCAAAGGGCTTAAAAACAGCATATTATAGAAATGCAGCCACATCAATGTATAGCAGCTCAATTCACAACAGTCAAACTGTAGAAGCAACCAATATATTCTTCAACAGATGAATAGATAAAGAAATTGTTGTACATATACACAATGGAATATTACTCAGCATTAAAACAGAATAAAATTATGGCATTTGCAGATAAATGGATGGAGCTGGGGAATATCATGCTAAGTGAAGTAAGCCAATCCCCAAAACCCAAAGGCCAAATGTTCTCTCTGATAAGTGGATGCTGAGCCATAATGGGGTAGGAAGGGTGCATGGGAAAAATGGAGGAACTTTGGGTAAAGGGAAGGGAGAGGTGGGGAGGGGGTATGGGGACAGGAAAGATAGTAGAATGAGATGGACATCATTACCCTAGGTACATGTATGACTGTACATATGGTGTGATGCCACATCGTGTACAACCAGAGAAATGTAAAGTTGTGATGCAATTGTATATGATGAATCAAAATGCATTTTGCTGTCATATATATCTAATTAAAATAAATAAATATGTTTTTTTAAAAAAGACCATGTAGGAAGCTGGTGTGCTTATTTATTCTCCCTTGTCTATTGGGTCAATTCCTCTTATCCTCCAAACTCCACCTCCCTAGGGAACCTTACCTGACCCCATTTAATGAGACCTTAAACCACCCAGCTCCATTCAGATAAAATAAATCCTTCCATATCTTGTAAATACTTCTATTCTTGTGCTTATGTTTTCTATTAATAACTTTAAAAATAAATTAGTTTTCTTTATAGATTGTGAGTTATTTGAAAGTAGGAATTGTATATTTCCAGTGTCTGGCACAAAGCAGATATTTAACAAACCTTTACACAAGTGAATGACTTATTTACATTAAATACAAAATTTGAAAATATGTGAAATGAAAAATAAAGATAAAAAATCAAAATTATAAGCAAGTTGAGAAAGATAACAACATCTTAATCTCTAGAAATGAAGCTATATATTCTCCATTTATATAGCTACAGACATTTTTTAAAAACCATTTTACTGAGGCATAATTTACATACCATAAAATTCCATTTCAAGTATAATTTGATTAACTTTTGTGTATGTGCAGTAATGTGACCACCACAATCAACAAAATTTTAGAAAAATCTCCCAAAAAATTCACTCATGCTCCAGGAAGTCGATCCTGATCCCTATTCCTGCATCCACTAACCTGCCTTCTGCCATTATAGTTTTAGCTCTAATCTTCTTTTCATATAAATGGAATCATTCAGTATGTAGTCTGTGCCAGGTCTTTCACTTAGAATAATATTTTGATATTCATCCATGTTATTATATATATCAATATACATTCTTTTTAATTGCTGAGTAGTCTTCTAATGTATAGACACAATACATTTTATTCATTTATTCATGGACTTTCAGGTCAGTTTTTCACTATAAATTAGGCTTTTATAAACATTTATTTAGTCTTTATATGGATATGTTTTTATTCTTTTGGAAGATACACAAGAATAGAATTGTTGGGTTTTACAGTAAGCATTTGCTTATTTTTAAAAGAAACTTTTAAATAAACTTTTTCCAATTGACTATATCATTTTGCATTCCTACCATTAAAAAATAAGAATTCTACTCATTTAGCTACTCTAAATCCTCACCAACACTTGGTATTATCACTTGTGACATTAATTTAGACTTTTTAAATGAACATGTTGAACATTTTTCATCTCCTTGTTGGCTATTCATATACATTTTTTCAAGAAATGTTTATTCAAATATTTTATAAATTTTTGTGCTGGGTTTCTTATTTTATTATTGAGTGATGAATTTTGATATATGCTGGATACAAGTCCTTAGTCACACACTTTTTTAAAACATTCACTTACCATAAAACTCATTATTTAAAGGTACAATTCAGTGGTTTTTAGCATATTTATAAATCAAACTGCATACCGCCATAATCTAATTCCAATATATTTTCATATCCTCTATTATAAATAAAATTATTTCTTAACATTATTTTCAGATTGCTCATTGTTAATATATGGAAATACAATGAATTTTTAATGCCTTTATTTTTTTCTTGCAATCTTTTTAAAAATATATGTATTTTTTTTAGTGGTAGTTGGACACAATATTTTTATTTTATTTATTTTTATGTGGTGCTGAGGGTCGAACCCAGTGCCTCACACATGCTAGGCAAGCACTCTACTGCTGAGCCACAACCCTGGCCCCTATCTTGCAATCTTATAGAACTTAGCTCCAATAATTTTTTGAAGACTCCTTATGATTTTCTACATAGAAGACTACCTAATTTGTGAAGAAATTGCTTTACCTCTTCCTTTATATCTCTACCTTTTCAATTTGGATACCTTTTGTTTATTTTTCTTGCCTAAATACCTTGTTGCAAACCTAGTACAATATTAAAAACAAGTGGCCAGTCCTGGTGGCACATGCCTATAATCCAGCTGCTGAGGAGGCTGAGACAAGTAGATCATAAGTTCAAACCCAACCTCAGCAAAAACGAGGCACTAAGCAACTCAATGAGACCCTGTCTCTAAATAAAATATAAAATTGGGCTGATGTGGCTCAGTGTTCGAGTGCTCAATCCCTGTTACCAAAAAAAAAAAAAAAAAAGTGGTGAGAACAGATATCCTTGCCTGATTCCTAATCTTGTTCCTGTCTTTAATTATTTGTATGAGGTTAGCTAGGTACCTTTTTATAGATATCCTTTTATAGGCTGAGCAAACTCTCTTCTATTCTTAGTTTATTGAAGTATTTCTGTTGTTGTTGTTGTTGTTTTTTAATTACCAAAAAGGGTGTTAGATTTTGGCAAATTCTATTTTTTTTTACTAAGATGATCACATACAATTTTTTCATTGATTCTATTAATATATTCAATTAATTAACTTTTGTTAAACTAATTATGCATTCCCAGGATAAATCTTTTTGATCATGCCCAAACTTGCTGAAACATTCACTTTAGCCAAGATATGAAGTCAATCTAACTGTCCATCGATGGGTGAATGAATAAAGTAAATATGATACACACATACCAGAATATTATTCAGGCTTAAAAAAGAAAGAAATTCTGTCATTTACAATACATATACATTTCAGGGACTTTCTGCTATATTAAATAAGCCGGTCACAGAAAAACAGATACTGATCCTCATCTATGTATGCAATCTAAAAAAGTCAAACTCATAGAAGCAGAGTAGACTGGTAGTTACCAGCGGACAGGCAGATAGGAAAAATGGGGGGATGTTGGTCAAATGATATGAACTTTCAGGCATAAGATGAATAAGTTCTGGAGCGCTAATGTATTACATAATGATTATGATTAATAATGCTGTATTGTATACTTACAATTGGTTGAGTAGTTCTTAAATGTTCGCATCAGAAAAAATAAGATAACTATGTAAGATGGTGGATATGTTAATTAGCTTGATTGTGGTAATCATTTTACAAAATATACATGTGTCAAAATATCATAGTGTGCTCCATAAATAAATAATTCTTATTTGTCAATTTACCTCAATAAAGATGAGAAAAATCCATTTGGTCATGAGGTATTCTTCTTTTTATTGTTAATACTACAGTAAATCTTTTTGCTTCTGTGTTCAGGGAGATATAGTTTTCTCTTCTTGTGATGCCTAATCTGGCTGTCAGGATAAAACCGTCCTCATAAAATGAGATTAGAATTGTACTATCTTCTTCTACTCTAAAAGTTTATATAGTATTAATAAGATTTCTTCCTTAAATGTTCACAGAATTTATTGTTGATTATTCTTTTTGAAAGAATAATAATTATATAGGTTGAATAAATCAATTTTCTTAATATCACTCCATTCAGATTTTCTATTTCTTCTTGAGCAAGTTATACCTTTCAATGAATTTGTCTATTTCACCTAAGTTATCAAATTTATTGGCAAAGTATTATTCACAATATTTTAATGGGTTTATACAGAAGTCTCCTCCTTCATTCCTGATATTAGTAATTTGAACTTACTTTCTCTTTTTCCATATCAATCCAGTGAGAAGTCTAGCTCCTAAATAAAAAATTTATGCATGGGTTTTCAGATCTAACCACAGAGAATTACAAAGGCTTTCCTGACAAGTCTCATAGAGAAAACTGCCCTCCCTACACATTGTTCCAGTCTCTGAAAGGAACCGCAGTTAAGGTCTCAGGCTACCTTGGCTACCTATACTCTTTCACATATTTAATATTCCTAGCCCCAGTGCATTTACTCCTATTTTCTTGGAGTAAATGCCTTGGACAAAAGTCTCTTCAGGTACCTCTGCCAAGGCCACCTTAATGTGGTGATGGACAGGGAGAACTTTGGAGACACTTTTCCCCAATATGATTTAGTACCCCAGTAACTTTTCTAATCCTGTTCTTTCCCCACTGACTCCAACCCACTAGTCCATAATACTGCCAGAACCTTGACCAGTGTGCCATTCCACAAGGAAAGGTGGAGTTGGCATTTTCGGGAACTGGGGAACTGGGAGAGTTAGCTTTTTCTCAAGTTTTAGCCTCCTGCTTACAGCATCGTAAGAGAAGAAACAACTCACTCTTGATTTGTTGCTTTAATTGGTGACTCTGACACATGGCAGCTCAGTTCTCTCCTAGCTCATCTGAGCTCCTGACATCTAAATTTATCCATTTTATTGATCTTTGCAAAGAACCAGGTTTTGAAGTCACTGATTTTCTCTATTGTTTCTCCATTATAATTCCATTGATTTATACTCTGATTTTTGTTATTTCCTCTCTTTTACTTGTAAAGGAAACTGAATGTCACTACAAAATATGCTTTTTTGACATAAATATTTTTGAGCTAAAGGCAAATAAGAAGTAAGCAAACTGAGGAAGATCACTCTTTGTACTCTTTGTATCCTGCCCTACTTTCCATTTAAAGACAGGATACAAATTCTCCTTTACTGGAGACAACTCTTATTAGCTCAGATATGGTATCAGAGGAATATGCAAACAAACCCAACTCCATTCATTTATTCCTTTCCTACAATATCTTACCTCTAAAAAGTCTAAAACTGCTTTCTTCTGTCGTGTAACTTCTTTAAAATTTATTTTGTTGTTGAAGATGTTTTATAAGCCAGAATTTTAAGTCATTTGTTTAAGTTACCTTTCACTGAGGTTTCTCCAATGTGATGTGCACTGCACATGTTTATAAACTTGTTTGATTTTCTCATTTTCATCTTTCTTTTTTTAAAAGAATTGGTACCAAATATAGACATAGGAGAGTTGAGGAGAGATTATATTTATTCCAGAACTCACCTATCACTATTTGCTGATGGGATGATTCTATATCTAGAAGATCCAAAAAAGTTCACTAGAACTAATAAATGAATTCAGCAAAATAGCAGGATATAAAATCAACACCCATAAATAAAAGGCATTCCTATACGTCAGCGATGAATCTGCTGAAAGAGTAATTAGGAAAACTACCCCAGTCACAATAGCCTCAAATAAAATAAAATACCTGGGAATCAATCTAACAAATGAGGTAAAAGACCTCTACAATGAAAACTAAGGAAAAAATCTGAAGAAAACTTCAGAAGATGGAAATATCTCCCATGTTCCTGGATAGGCAGAATTAATATTGTCAAAATGGCCATATTACCCAAAGCATTATACAGATTTAATGAAATTCCTACTAAAATCCCAATGACATTCTTCATAGAAATAGAAAAAGCAATCATGAAATTTATTTGGAAAAATAAGAGACCCAGAATAGCCAAAGCAATCCTTAGCAAGAAGAGTAAAGCAGGAGGTATCACAATATCAGACCTTAAACTATACTATTAAGCTATAGTAATAAAAATGGCATGATATTGGCACCAAAATAGACTTGTAGACTAATAGTACAGAATAGAGGACACAGAGATAAACCCACATAAATACAATTAACATATACTAGGCAAAGGCACTAAAAACATGCATTGGAGAAAAGATAGCCTCTTCAACAAATGGTGCTGGCAAAACTGGAAATTCATATTTAACAAAATGAAATTAAACTACTATCTCTCACCCTGACAAAAATCAACTCAAAGCGGATCAAAGACTTAGGCACTAGAACAGAGATCCTATGCCTAATAGAAGAAAAAGTAGGCCCAGATCTTCATCATGTTGGCCTAGTATCTGACTTTCTTAACAAGACCCATAATGCGCAAGAAGTAAAATCAAGGATCAATAAAGGGGATGAATTCAAATTAAAAAGTTTCTTCTCAGCAAAGGAAACAATCAATAATGTGAGGAGACAGCCTACATTTTGGGAGAAAATCTTTACCACATATACCTCCAATAAAGCATTAATCTCTAGGATATATAAAAATAACCCAATCAATAAATGGGCTAAGGAACTGAACAGATATTTCACAGAAGAAATACAATTGATCAACAAATATATGAAAAAGTGGTGAACATCTCTGGCAATTAGAGAAATGAAAATCAAAACTACTGAGATTTCATTTCATTTCATTCAGAATGACAATCATCAAGAATACGGGCAACAATAAATATTGGTGAGGATGTAGGAAAAAAGGTACACTCATACATTGCTCGTGGGACTGCAAATTGGTACAACCACTATGGAAAGCAGTATGGAGATTCCTAAGAAAACTTGGAATGGAACCATCATTTCACCCAGCTATCCCACTCCTTGGTTTATACCCAAAGGACTTATAATCAGCATACTACACTAATACAGCCATGTCAATATTTATCGCAGCCCAATTCATAATAGCTAAACTATGGAACCAACCTAGGCATCCTTCGATAGATGAATGAATAAAGAAAATGTGGTAGGTATATATATATCTTTTCAATGGAATTTCACTTAGCTTTAAAGAAGAATGAAATTATGGCAAATGCTAGAGTTGAAGAATATCATGCTAAGTGAAATAAGCCAATCCCAAAAAAACCAAAGGCTGAATGTTTTCTCTAATATGAGGATGTTAATTCACAATAGGTGGGGAGCACTAGAGAAAAACAGAGTTACTTTAGATTAGGCAGAGGAAAGAGATTCTAGAGGGGTGGGGAAGGGATGTGGGGATACGAATGATAATAGAACAAAACAGACATTATTACTTTATATATATATATATATATAACTGCATGACCAATGTGATTCTACAACATGTACACTCAGAAAAAAGAGAAATTATATCCCATCTATGTATGATACATGAAAGTGCATAAATGCATGCTATTGTCATGTATAACTAATTAAAACAAATAAAAAAAATTTTTAAAAAGCAAACGATATCAGTGATAAAAATAAATCAATGAACTAAATACTATGACCTATTTAAGTACTGGAAATGAATTATCACTGATTCAATCCAAAACTGCTCAAATATCCAACACTAGTAATATTATAAAAAGAGGTGAGTGCTAGTGAATACCAAAATAGCAAATATTTATTCTTTGAGGTAGAATAACATATACTTATTAGGTCAGGATTACATATGTAGACATAAATATTATATTATACATTAGCATAATTTTAAAAAATAGCTTATTATAAAAATAAGGCTCCTGGGCTGGGGTTGTGGCTTAGGAGTAGAGTGCCCACCTAGCATACGTGAGGCCCCAGGTTCAATCCTCAGCACCACATAAAAATAAATATACAAAATTAAGATATTGTGTCCAACCACAAGTAAAAAATAAATATTAAAAAAAAATAAGGCTCCTTATCCACTACCCCAAATTTTACCTGGCAACTAGGTAAATCTTCCCCAAAAAGGTGGTGCTGAAGAAGGCTGGTGATTCTGAGGAAAGGTAAGCAGAAGTCCTGTAAATACTTTTCCATGGATTCAGGAGACCAAGCAATAGGACTAATCTAAAGTTAAAAAAGAGAATTTGAACAATTCATTGTATAATTGATGTAGTAAATTATATTCACAATGGCAACAAAATATTAAGCTTTTACTCAATAACTACTGTCTCATCTTAGCAAATACATACCATTACACACTCCTGAGTTCCTTCTTCATGGTATAACTTTCCTTTAGATAATTCATTTATAATAAAGCTCAATAACACTTCATAAGACTTTTCTGCATCACATGTATTCTGGAAAAAAATTAACATTAGTTACATTGGTCATTATGAAATATAAAAAAATCTATGTTGGAAATAACACTTTTTAATGAGCAAAACTATGATTATATTATTCTTCAAGCATAGAAACTTCAATTTTTCTAAACTGGGATACAACCATATATGCCTTTGGACACACAATGAAATTGAACAGATAATCAAAACTATTCCAAAATTTGTTTAAAAGACAGCATATAAATTGTATAATGTAGATGCAAATGAACACATGCAAAACATGCCTTTTGAGCCAGTGATTTCCACTCTGGAATTCATCCAAAGAAAATAATCCAAAAGAAATTTTTTTAAAAAAGCTATATTCAGGGCTGGGGTTGTGGCCCAGAGGTAGAACACTTGCCTAGCATGCGTGAGGCACTGGGTTTGATCCTCAGCACCACATAAAAATAAAATAAAGATATTGTGTCCACCTATAACTAAAAAATAAATATTAAAAAGCTATATGCAGAGGATAGTCATTGCAGCACTATACCAAAAAAAAAAAAAGGGAGAGAGAGAGAGAGAAAGAGAGAAATGAACAACAATAATGATGCAGTTACCTAAATTATGGAATATCAACTTAACAGAATATTTTATAGGCAGTGATTATGATAAATTCAAACTTGTGGAAAATATTCATGATGTGAAGAGAGCCAAATAAAAGATATTGTACCACTCACTGTAGTGGCACAAATCATATATGCATGTATTAGAAGAAAACATGAGCCACATTTTTAAAAATTTTACAACTTTCCTTAAATTTCTTGAAGAGGATTTGTTAAAACTATTTACAAATCAAACAGAATAATATATTTATTACAGAATGTCCAAAAACTATATTGAATAATGGTCTACAACAAAAACATAATTACTGCTTCCAATTTTATAAGAAAGTAAAATAATGGCTATTTATAAATTCACATTTATTTCAATAAAATATTTTATTCATAAAGAAATGTACCTCTTTTATATTTATTAAAATATTAAAGAAAAGTATAACATGAAAATTATAGTAAAACATAAATTGGAATAAAGTAATGACTTTGCTATTATGTCATTTAGGCTACTCATTAACTGTATTTTTGAAACGAAAAATAAAAGAATTGAGTAAACACCATGGAATATAAGTTTATTCTTAACTTTTAAGGTACTTATAGTCTGGACTGCAGATTTATTTGATGATACTTGTTTCTATTTTCTAATTGTTTCTTCCATGATATTGTATTCTTTTCAGTCAAACTATAAATTCCAAAATATCAGAAACTATGCTATTTTCCAGGAATACCTTTTCATAATAAATATCTGCTCATAACAAATAGAATTTATTTGATAATATTGGAGCTTCTGACACTAGAATTTGCCTGAGCATTCCTTTTTTGATAATCAGTTCTTTGCCTTATTTTAAATTAGTCCTCTGCCTTCTGCTGCATTCACTCTGCCATGTAGAACTATGTCCTGATTCTAAACTATTAAAGTGTCCTTTTTGGGTATGGTGCCATATGCCTGTAATCCAAGTGGCTCAGGAGGCTGAAGCAGGAGAATCCCAAGTTCAAAGCCAGCCTCAGCAACTTAACGAGGCCCTAGAGAACTTAGCAAGACGCTTTCTCAAAAAATAAAAAGGGATAGGAATGTCGATCGATGGTTAAGCACCCCTGGATTTAATCCTCAGTTACCTGGCCCCCACCAAAACGTCCTTGACTGCAACTGGTGTTATACCAGGTGACTCACCCACCTTTGCTTGCTTAATCAACAGGATGATCACATACTAAATATGATGACCTACAGGTTACATATACTTCACAAGAATCAATATACCACTGAATATCAAACAAGAAAAATTATTAAAACTTAATCAAATAATTTCTTAAACAAGGCAGAGTTTACTTAAATGCAAAATGAAGAAAACTTTAAAAAAATATAACCATGAAAGATTTGTTACTTGCTAATAAATGTGACATATTTAAGATTCTTTAAATATACAACCCAGCCAAAAGCTTCCAAAATTTAGTACTCTTTTGAATTAGAGTTACAGAAAATAACAGTATTATTTCAAAGAACAATACTTTTTGTTCAGTATGATTTCAAGAATAATATTTATGTTTAGACCACTCAAGTAAATTACTGAATGAAATTAGCTTATAAATCAAATACATCAACATGTATTACATAAATAAAGAACATGCCGAATTCTATGTTAAATCAGACAGTTAATATAATGTTTACTAGTTTATACTGAGCACTCTTCTCACCAGAGGAGTATTGGATGAAAAAAAATGAATTTCACATGTATATAAGTCTTAAGAAAGCATATTTTAAATAGTCTTTGAATAAACGAAAGAACAGGCTCATGAAACTTAAGAAAGAATTTCTGAGAAAATGGGCAAAAGATCTAAATTCCAGAATCAGAAGAATACTAAGGAAAAGTTACCAAAAATAAGTGGGTTGGGGGCTGGGGACATAGCTCAGTTTGTAGAGTGCCTGCCTCACATGCACAAGGCACTGAGTTCAATCTGCAGAACCACCACCACCACACACACACACACACACACACACACACACACACACACACACACACAAAGTGGGTTAAATAAAGGAAGGAAGGGATCAAGGTTTGAGAGATGCAGTGAGGTATGTAAGAGATGCAGAGGGTATGTGTTAGGTAGAATGCAGAGGGATGTGTTAAGTATAATGCTTGGTCTAAATTACAGTGCTTCCTAAACTTTGGGGGGGCAACAGGCCCTGTAAGTATATTCTGAATGTCACATTTCCACTTCCAGAAAACAAAACAAAACAGAATCTACCCAAATATCTTGGTTTAAGAAATTCTAGTATAAAAGACTCTTGGCAAAAATTCCACAGAACAAAGGAATGCAATTTACAGTGATAATGATTTTTCCAACATAAATAAACCTTATTATCAAGTTAATCTCAAACCCCTTCAAAAATACGTAATACCTATATATTTATTGCCCCAGGCTAGATTAGATATGACCAAAAAAGAAAGCTTTTGTGAGAATTATCATACCTAAGCATAAAGAATTATAGAGATGAAATGAGTAAAACCCAGTAAAGAAAGGAAAAAGAGAGTGAAAAGGGAGGGAAGTGAAAGTATATTAAAAAAAGAAAGAAGGAATTACACAGAATTTAAGTCATACACAGCAATCCATTTCATCATTCATAGTCATTATTTACAACTTCTATATCTAAATATTTATATCTATTGTAGAGTGGCAAACCAACCATGACAGATTTTGTTTTCAGTACTAACTTATATGGCTATGAACTAACATATTTTTAATTTATGCTCTAATAACAGGTGTCATAGTGTTTTACTAAGACTTTTTAAAAACAGCTATCAAGGGCTGGGATTGTGGCTAAGTGGCAGAGCACTTGCCTCGAATATGTGAGGCACTGGATTCGATCCTCAGCACCAAATAAAAATAAAGAAACAAAATAAAGATACTGTGTCCATGTATAACTAAAAAAAAAAAAATTTAAGCTATCAATTATAAAATTAACAAAGAATACTGACTAAACAGCCACTTAAATCCTGTTCCTTTCATCAGAAATTTACAATTGTTTAAATTTTGTCATTAAGACCTAATTTTGGAAACTACACTGAGATTCCATCTCTCTCCAGTCAGAATGGCAATTATCAAGAACCACAAGTAACAATAAATGTTGGCAAGGACGTGGGAAAAAAGGGAAAGTGAAGGGAAGGGAAGGCAAGACAAGGCAAGTCTAGGTTTTTTAAGTTTAGAAGTGGTAGGCTGGTGTTATGGCTCAGCAGTAAAGTGCTCAGCTCAAATGTACAAGGCCCTAGGTTGGATCCTCAACACCACATAAAAATAAATAAATAAATAAAATTAAGGTGTTGTGTCCAACTACAACCACAAAAAATAAATATTAAAAAAAGAGCAGATTATGCTAAGCGAAGTTAGCCAATCCCTAAAAAACAAATGCCGAATGTCTTCTCTGATATAAGGGAGGTGACTCAAAACAGAGTAGGGAGGAAGAACGTGAGAAGAAGATTAACACTAAACAAGGAAGAGAGGTGGGAGGGAATGGGAGGGAGAAGGGGAATTGCACGGAAGATGGAAGGAGACCCTCATGGTTTCACAAAATACATATACAATGGTGTAAGGGGAAAGGGGAAAAAAAGAGAGAAAGAGAGAAAAGTGTCACAGTAGATGGGTAGAGAAAGGTGATGGGAGGGGAGGAGAGGGGATAGGGAGGGCAGCAGAATACAACTGACACTAGGATTGCTGTATGTATATACATGGCTGTATAACCAATGTGATCCTGCAACCTGTACACATGGAAAAATGAGAATTCATACCCTATTTCAATCAAATGTATGATATGTCAAGATCATTGTATTGTCTTGAGCAACTAATTAAAAAAAAAGAAGTGGTAAGTCAAAGGGCTGGGGTTGTAGCTCAGTGGTAGAGCACTTGGCTAGCATGTGTGAGACACTGGGTTCAATTCTGAGCACCATTAATTTATAAATAAATTAAATAATAAAGGTCCACTGACAACAAAAAAAATATTTAAAAAAAAGAAGTGTAAGTCAAAAAGCAAACTTCATATTGTAATAGGAAATAGGAATAAAGAAAAAATGACAGATAAATAGTTTAAATCTGCAGATACTTAATTACTATTTTCACTGAAATGTCACAGGTTTTTTTTTTATTATTATTATTTTTGGTACTAGGGATTGAACCCAAGACCTCATGCTTGCTGGGAAAATGCTCTATCACTGAGCTACATCCCCAGTCCTTTTTATAACTTCCTTAAGATAAATGTTTGTAGCAAAATTTACAAAACAAAACTGTCCAAATTTAAGGGGATAAAGGCCAAGTATAGAGACAGATGCAGAAAGTCTAATCACGTAAGGAGACATTTAATTCTTTTTTTTTTAAAGCCTGAAGGTACTCCACTTCCAATTAAAATACCATTAACTCATTTTGTCTTTCAAACACTTAACTTCACTCATATCCTCATTTGAATGAGTTCCCCAAACTACTAAATGATGAATTCAGAAAAGAGACTAACCTTTTTGAGAGCTCCCGTGTGTTTCCAGGCTGACCTATCTTCCTCACTGCATTTAACTGAAAGTGCAGCAAGAGCCTGTGTATATAGTAGGGTAAAAAGCACCTTCACAATGCAGGTGAAGTGTTCTACAAGAGAAAAAGAATATCATTATTACCTTCATAAATACAGCTTTCCTTGCATGTGCAACACTTATATAGTTAATAAAATGAAATTATGATGTGCTATACTTGTTGCCTAAAAGATCTAAAATTATAAAAACAATGTTCCTCTATACATCCACAGAATATGTTGATAAGAAGCATAAGAAAGTGTGATCTATTTCGGAAGACCAAAAAGTTAACGTCATTCAACCTGGAAATGAAGCCTGTAGAACCTTGGCAAATACCCTCGCTGGTTTTCAGGTGCTCATTACAACATTCATGTGTTTCAATGTTTAAAACCAACATATTACCTACCTCTATTATAAAAAAGAGCTCATAAAGAATAGTATAATACAAAAGATCTATATAATGAAAATTACAGAATCCTAAAGAAAGAAATCAAAGAAGACCTCAGAAGATGGAAAGATCTACCTAGCTCTTGGATAGGCAGAATTAATATCATCAAAATGACCGTACTTCCAAAAGCACTATACAGATTTAATGCAATTCCAATCAAAATTCCAATGATATTCCTCAAAATAACAGAAAAATCAATCATGAAATTCATCTGGAAAAATAAGAGGCCCAGAATAGCTAAAGCAATCCTTAGCAGGAAAAGTGAAGCAGGTGGCATTATTATACCAGACCTTAAACTATACTACAGAAAAATAGTAACAAAAACAGCATGGTATCAGCACCAAAATAGACTGGTAGATCAATGGTACAGAATAGAGGACACAGAGACCAACCCATACCACTACAATTATCGTATATTAGACAAAGGTGCCAAGAACATGCATTGGAGAAAAGATAGCCTCTTCAACAAATGGTGCTGAGAAAACTGGAAATTCATATGCAAAAAAATGAAATTAAACCTCTATTTCTCACCATGCACAAAACTCAAATCAAAATAAATCAAGGACTTAAGAATACAACCAGAGGGCTGGAGTTGTGGCTCAGTGGTAGAACACTTGCCTGGCATGCATGAGGCCCTGGGTTCAATCCTCAGCACTGCATATAAATAAATAAAAAGTGAATAGAGAGCCTATTTCTTGGGAACAAATCTTAACCCCTTGCACATCAGATAGAGCACTAATCAGTAGGCTATATAAAGAACTCAAAAAGCTAAACACCAAAAAAAACCCAAATAACCCAATCAATAAACGAGCCAAGGACCTTAAGAGACACTTCTCAGAAAACAATGTACAATCAATCAATACATGAAAAAATATTCATCATCACTGGTAATTAGAGAAATGCAAATCAAAACCACTTTAAGATTTCATCTCACTCCAGTCAGAATGGCAGCTATTATCCACACAAACAACAATAAGTGTTGGCGAGGATGTGGAAAAACAGGTACACTCATACACTGCTGTGGGACTGCAAATTGGTGCAGCCACTATAGATAGCAATATGGAGATTTCTTGGAAAACTGGGAATGGAACCACCATTTGACCCAGTTATCCCTCTCCTCGGCCTATACCCAAAGGACTAAAAACAGCATACTACAGGGACACAACCACATCAATGTTTATAGCAGCACAATTCACAATAGCTAAACTGTGGAACCAACCTAGATGCCCTTCAATAGATGAATGGATAAAAAAAAAATGTGGCATATATACACAACGGGAATATAACTCAGCAATAAAAGAGAATAAAATCATGGCATTTGCAGGTAAATGGGTGGAGTTAGAGAAGATAATGCTAAGTGAAGTTAGTCAATCCCAAAAAACCAAGTGCTGAAAGTTTTCTTTGATATAAGGAGGCTGATTCATAGTGGGATAAGGAGTGGGAGCATGGGAGGAACAGACAAATTCTAGATAGGAAAAAGGGGTGGGAGGGGAAGGGAGGGGGGAATGGGATTATTAATGATGGTAGAATGTGATAATCATTACTATCCAAAGTACAGGTATAAAGACACAAATTGGTGTGAATGTACTGTGTATACAGAGATATGAAAAATTGTGCTCTATATGTGTAATTAGAAATGTAATGCATTCCTCTGTCATATATAAATAAAAAGAAGAGGGCTGGGGTTGTGGCTCAGTAGTAGAGTGCTTGCCTAGCATGTGTGAGGCACTGGGCTTGATTCTCAGCACTGCATATAAATAAATAAAGGTCCACTGGCAATTAAAAAATATTTTTATTAAATAAATAAATATAGTATAATATAAAATATGTATTTTATAAAGTAAAAAAAAGACATTCTAGTATTTAGGTTGCTGAGTTTCAGAATTCAGTGAAAACTATATAATATCAAACAGTAAAAATAATACATAAAGTGCCTGATAGCTTTGGACATATATGAGGTACTTTTATATTAAATGGGAGCTTAACAATCATAGTTAACATCTGCATTACAGAATAACTTAGAAAATCTTTTCAAATGTCTTATTCAATCCTCAAAATGGTATCAATGTTTCAGACAGATAAACTTACACACCTAGGATTCTAAACTTGCATCCATATAGATAATTTTTCTTCAAATCTGTGTTCCTTCTATCATACTACGCTGCTCTGGTAGCAAATGCTTATTTCCTATGTAATCAGTTGCTGGAGTGAGAAATTTATAGACATCCTTGATACTTTCTGTCTCTTTCTTACCCACATTAAAATAATCACCAAGTCCTGTCAATTCTATTTTTTAAATATGTCCCAAGTCAGTTCAAAAAACCTGGACAAAACTTCCATTGTTTCTTTTCCAGACCTAAAATTCCAACCTAAGTGACTATGTCACATCCTTGATCATTTCCATGTTTGATGATTCACTAGAACTCATAAGATTATACTGAATCTTATAGTCATACTCATGACTATGATTCAAGACAGCATAAGAATACAAACTAAAATCAGCAAAGGGAAAAGGCCCATTGGGTAAAGTCCTAAGGAAATTTTTAGAGTCACACTGGATGTGTTTATCTCCTCCAGCAACAAGCTGTGACAGCTCAGAAATCTCACGAAAGAGACAGCACCCAAAGGGCTGTCTCTGCCTAGCACATATCAAAATCCCAGACTCCTAGGGAGAAAGTAAAAGCATTCAGCAAGAACCACATTGTTACTCAAAACAGATTTGGCATTCTTATCAGTTCTGAAAATGACGGGTTTCCTTCCAAAGCCCAAGTTCACTGATGCTAGTTAAGGTCCAACTTTACAAGCAGGCCTTCTATGTTAATTCTTTTCTACATGGTAGTTTATCTGTATCACCTCTTAGATTCTTACAATCTATTTTTTACTGTAGCTAGACTGATGTTTGCCCCTTTTCACTGAGGTATAATTGATGAAAATTGTAAATACTGAAGGTATAAACATACACTCTGAAATGATTCACATTCAAGTAAACATATACATCACCTCATATAGTTATCACTTTCTGTGTATATGGTTAGAATACTTAACGTCTACTCTCTTAACAAATCAAAGTATACAACAAAGTTTTATTAAATACAGTTAGTATACTTAATTTAGTAGATATAGTGTGAGCAGATTCTAGAACTTATTTTCTTGGCACTTGTACCTTTGACTATTATCTCCCCACTTCCCCACCCACCCTCCTGACCACTGGTAACTACATTTCTACTGTTTCTATGAGTATGAATGTTTTAAATTCTACATATAAATGGGATAATGCATTACAGCTGGTCCTCTATGTCCACAGCTTCCACATCTGCAGAGTCAATCAACTTCAGATAGAAAATATTTGAAAAAAAATTATCTTTATTGAACATGCACAGTTTTCTTTCTGGCTTTATTAAACAATACAGTATAACAACTATTTTACATAGCATTTACATTGTATTAGGAATTACACAATGTACCTTGTATTATTGTGTGTGTGTATATATATAAAAATATATAAATATATAAATTAAAGAAAAAATATATAGTAATATTGTCTTATAAGTAAACTAGAAAAGATTTAAAGTATTACCACAGGACATGTATAAATTATATGCAAATATCATGCCATCTTTATATAAGAGACTTGAACATCCTCAAATTTTGGAATACATGCAGCATCCTGAAACCAATCCCTAGAAAATACCAGGGGACAATTGTATTTATCTCTGGGACTGGCTTATTTCATGTAACATAATATCCTCCAGGTTCACTGTTGCAAATGGAACAAGATTTCCTTCCTTTTTAAGGCTAAATAACCTTTCATGTATATATGTGTGCATGTGTGTATATGCGCGTGCACATGCACACATGTGTATGTGTGTATTCATTCACTCATTAACATTTAGGTTGTTTCCACATCCTAGCTATTATAAACAATGAGGCAATGGAACATGGGAATACAGATATCTCAAGACACTGATTTCATTTCCTTTGGCTCTACACCCAGAAGTAGGATCTCTGTATCATATGATAGTCCTATTTTTAATTTTCTGAGGACCCTCCACAATCTTTACCATAAGGGTTGAACTATTTTACATTCATTCCAACAAGGTATAAGGGTTCTATTTTCTCCATATCCTCACCAATACTTGTAATTTTTTGATAGAAACCTTCCAAACCAGTTAGAGGTAATATCTCACTGTAGTTTTGATTTGCAGTTCCCTGATGATTACTGATACTAAGAAGACTGATGATCTTTTAAAGAAATATTTGGCATCCTTCCCCTAGGTGTCTACAAACTGAAATAATCTTCCTTTCTCATAGGTAGGCTAACTCATAAAATCAGTCAAATAACACCTTGAAAGTCACTTCCCAAAAAAAATCTTCCCTGATTTAAAAATGTGTGAGTATACACATGTGTGCCACATATCTGCTCTTATCCGTGCTGATCAGTTAGGGTGGGTACTTGATATAAACCATATTAGTTAGGGTGCATCTATGGGATTTTTATAACTGGAGATGAAGGGAAAGTGTAAATATTGAGCTTAGAAATATCAGAGGCTATGCTCTGGTCAACAGCTGAGCCTGAATGAAGTGACAAGACTGACGAAAGTGGACTCATGGCAGAATGAGAGATGCAT